ATGGAAAACCGGAACGGAGAGAAGGACGCCGATTTTTTCACGACGTTAGGAGAAAAAGGATGGAAGAAGGATGAAACGCAAAAATCATGCGTGTACGTATGAGTGTGCGTATGAAGATACAAGGAGAGGGTAGGGATGGGAGAGAAAAGTAGCGTGGGTTTCGCGCGTTTACCGAAAGAGCAGTAACGACTCGTACAGGAAGCGTTGCGGATGCAAGGCCGTTTCTTGCGGCGTGACCGCCGTGCCGTCCGAGGGAGCCCTCCTCTTGGTTTTCCGACTCGTCCACCCCCTCGTCCTCTTCGCCCGAAGAATCCTGTGTTTCGTTCGAATTCGATCGGCGCACGCGACTCGATTCGAACGCGTACCGAGATCTCGACGCGATACGATACAATCGCGGCGCTATTATAAGGGGGGAGGCGGGGGATCGACGAGCGTGAATCGTCGAGAAGAGGTGGTTGCCGGTAGAGATTGCGGAGACGCGGGACGATGAGACGACGATGCGAGGTCGTATTGGGATTCGATCGGTTTCGGACCGGGGAGAGAGCCGAGATCGGTGATGATCCATCGCAGAGACCCCAAATCCGTGATAATGAGCAGCGTCCATGGAGGGAAAAAAAGATGTAATCGTGTTAGTAGCAGGAACGACGAGAAGCAAACACGTTGATCGTAGTTCGCTCGCTCGATCGGTGCCAAAAACTACGACAACGTTTCTCTCACCGAAAGAACGAACGCGGATGAGAGGCTGGCATGAAAAGACTACGTACACGGAAATTCAAGAAGTTGGCTGATCGCACGAGTTGCGCGTACAGAGAACTTTTAAATTAGGCAGAGGCGTCTAAAACGTTGCGCGCGACGTAAACTTAACACCGTGTATACCGAATGGGAATGAACAGCTCGCGAAAGATCACTCGTCGAGCGTATCGAAGGAGACAATCACGATCGATCGTTCGTGAAAGTACGAACGCGCGTTGCTGTGTTTTAGATGATTTTGTCGGCTTTTTCTTTCACCTATAGTTTCAGTTCCACAATTGCGTGCTAATCGCACGATACGTACCCTTGCCCTAGCGGATATCAAGACGTGATGATTGTTCACTTGCGCAGGTGGCTCGATGGTTTTCTGATTCGTCAAGTCGGGATTCAAGGCGACGATCGCATCCATCTCCACCTAAAAACGAAAAACGAGCGTAGAACATCTTAGAGATTTTGCGTAGATTTTGTGTACTTTTTGGGTTTTCGATCGTTGCGCGAGATGTACGTCGCTTTCGCGTAAGAATACCTCTTTCCCCTTGGTCTCTCCTCTTTCGAACCATTCTACGGTGACGGTACGCTGTTCCCAATTGATTCCGGAAACCACCGCCGAGTGGACACGACCTGAAACAAACATGCACTCAATGTAGCTCGTCGATAAATCGAGAATCTTCTTGCGAGAAGAGAAGCATCGTAGAGAGTACGAAAGGCAAACGAATCGATTGGATCACGTTCAAGCATCGATCTGCAAAACCTTTCCCTCCTGTTTCGTTCATAAGCTTTAAAACCCGAATTATTATATCGTGTAAAGTCGATCGATAGCTATCAATGGTGACGCGTCGATCCATGGATTCGCGGGGATATCCAGCGAGGGGGGAACGTGTTCTTGGATGACGTAAGAACGGATAAAAGGTAAGGTCTGGCGAGGTAAGAATCTCGCGGCAGGCATCCATATAAGGATGCAGCGCCCACGTGCACGCGACTCGCCCCGTCGTCGTCGTCGTCGTCGTCGTCGTTGTCGTCGTCGTGACTCGACCACGCGTCGTTCTACTCGCTTTCGATTTCGATTTCGAATTTCGGGCAAGGCCTGCGCCGCCGGTGATGCTTTGTTGGCACACGTACACGCGTAGGACGGCCACTTGTTGCGTCGACGAGTTGCGTTTCAGCCGCCGTGCGTTTCCCTGGAAGTCTGGCATGCCATTTAGGAAGCGTGAAATGCTTCTAACGACTTCTAACTATTCATAATCCGAGCCGTAACGCGGCGTTACCTCTGAATCGTTACCGGTGTTACCGGTTTCTTGGCAATTATACGGATTCGTCTCGGCAATTGGAGGATCGAAGATCGAACGTCCCTGTCCGGCGCCGTACCTGTACGCGTGTTTCTATTTATATGGACGGGTGCAGGCTATAAATATTATTGCCGCGTCTCGGAGATTGGGTCACCACCGATCCGCTTTCTTCCTGCAACCGTGCGGGCGCTTTTCCAACAACCGCTGCAGCTCTCGACGGACACGTTTCGATCGTCGATCGTTCTGTTCCCGATCGGCGTTCTGTTCTTCGATCAAACGTAACGACGAGGCAACAAGTTTCTGATCGTTTCTGATCGGTGCTGCTACGCGGCGAACCAGCTCTCCTTTCTTGGTGAACGCTCTGACTCATTCATCGAGACAGAGAGAGAGAGAGAGCAAGCACGTCGTTGGTTCGCACTTCTTCTTACGACCAGGGTGTTCCACGAAAACATCGGTTGTGTTCGCTCGAGGAAGAAAGGACTCGACTGGTTTCGGAGCGCGAGAGAGTCATCATCTCGAGAATCGTACTGTGGGAAAAATTTCGCGAGCATTGGACTTCGCCCCGAAAAATATGCCCGGAGATGTCTGCAGGGTTATACGTGGCATTCAGAGCGCGTAAGAGGAAACGCGATTAACGATTCGATGGAGGTGGCATCTTTCGTTCTGGTCTCGTTGCATTGGGTTACGTCGAGGCGCGACGAGAAGACCAGACCGCGCGGTGAAAGGATATCCGTTCATCACTGCCAACGGTAGTATCGAGTCGCCGATCGTTATCACACGCGAAGGATAAGACCGCGAGCCGAAAGATACCGACAGACCGCGTGGTCCGCCGCGTCTCTCCGCGCCGGCGTGACTTAACCCTCTTAATTCGAATGGTTATTTAAAAAAAAAAAAAAAAAAAAAAAAAAAAGGAGAAAAGAAAACAAATACGGCGCGAAAAGGTCAACATTCGAAGAAGCTCAAGGGCACGAGTACTTGTACGAGGCTCGCATACATCGCTTAGTATTCGCCCGGTTCACTCCCTCGAGTACAGTAATCGCGCGCGTTGCAATGCCCACCTACGTAACTAGATATGTATATTGGAACCAGTTGGCCAACCGGGAGGATGCGACGTAACACACAAAGTGCGACTTACGACCAGCTGCATAGTCCGGCGAGAAGGGTAAGTTGCCTCGTTCGTTCGTTCGTTCGCTCGATACAAAACGAGTATCAACGAGAATTTCGTCGCCGTGGGAATAATTGATCGCTGCGAGGATTCAAACGACGAAGATCGGTGTTTCACAGCACAGTAAACGTGTGCTGCACGACACGGCGAAAAATATTACGCAGCTGATAGATGATAATGATGAACGACGAAAGTCTCTGGTGGTTTTGGGAACAAACTAGGGGAGAGGGGAGGGGGGGGGGG